CATGAACAAAATTGTTTTTAATTTTCATTGTAAGTGGGCTAAAGCAGTTAATTAAAAGTAGTCTAACATAAATGCTGTAATTTGATTACTTTAATAAACATGTAACTTGGATGGATTCGATGCTGGTGTGACCACAGTGCACACGTCTGCTGTTGCTCACCGTGGTCCAAGGGACACTCAGGGAGTTTGTGTGTTTGCTCAGACACGTGAAACATTAGAGGGAAGATTGGTGACGTCGCTTTTTGATCCTTCGATGTCGGCTCTTCCTATCATTGTGAAGCAGAATTCACCAAGCGTTGGATTGTTCACCCACTAATAGGGAACGTGAGTTTAGACCGTCGTGAGACAGGTTAGTTTTTCCCTAAAGTCAGCTGTTAGATGGCATTGCAGGGCTTTATAAATAAAGAAGCTGTAGACACAGGTGTTGCTTCTATTCATGGATGAGGCCGTATGTGACGTTTAATTATACAGAAACAGTCTAAGGTTAAACTTTTGTTTGTCCTTCCTGTACAACTATTTTTAATACAAATCTGGATATTGTGTAAAATGGAAATAAAAGTTAAATATGATTATTTGCAAATTATAAAAGCAGTAATTACAAACTGAAAAATGTTGTAATAAAAAAACCCTGAAGTTATGCAATGCTGTGTGCACCTCATAACTATGTTCTTTAGCGAGAGGTAAGCAACAGTGTAACAGAGCGTCCTGGTAAGTTAGAATGGGGTCATGATTGTTAATAACTCAACCATACGGTTACAGAAAAACGTTTCTCACAGTAAAGAAAGTCGTGATTGGTTTATGCTCGGGTCCCACAGCTTAAAAAAAATAACTTTAATCAACCCAACACCAGAAGTATCCAACATACCACACTGCTGACCACCAGAGGAGACTACCAGCTCATCATCAGGTGTGATTTCCACATGTAGGAGCAGATGGTCTCCAGAGCTCTCACCGATTCAGCAGAACCTAGTGGCTTGTGTGCATCATGTCTTTGATCTAACTGAATATGAATCAGTTTGTGACCACACCAACAACAGAAAACCGAAAATATTGTAAAGTATTTTTTTAATGGTTAAAACCGATTAATCAGCCTGCTTCCACAAGAAAGGGCTGATCACACACCCTTCTTCTTGCTGATGGAACAAGCACAGAGTCACACACTGTCAGAGAAATGGCCCACTGGTGCTGCCTGCGACTCTCATCAGTCTCATACTCCTGACTCTGATGAGCAAGTGGAAACCAACTGTGCTCAATCACAGAGCTGCAGAAAGGGTGATACATGAAGAGGCAGGAGCAAGCAGAAGCACTATGGGATGTAAAATAATATGGCACATAATATTATTCAAATATTCCCTCTATTAATTCAAGTCTTTGTGCACAATATGCAAGGCTGAAAATCAAAGGACATCTTTGTCAAACAAGACCGGCTGTTTTCAGCGCAATAATGCCAAATCACAAAACCTCAGACCTGTCGATGAACTTCTGACAAACATTTGTTGTTGTGGTTATTTTTAGAGGATGATATTCGAAAATAAGAACTGGAAAACATTTCCCCAGCAGGGTCAGATGTCCATTACAGAGTTAAAAGCAGTTATAGCTCCTGTTTGGCTGCAGTGACACTGATATCATTACGTTGCTCTGTGTTATAGGACATAGCTGACCTTGCATTTGAAGTGTCTGGCTGTAAAGCTCAGCCATTCCCCAGCGTCAGTAAGATCATCGCAGACATGCTTTTTAACCTCCTCCTCCAGGCGCTCTTCCTCATTCAGGTACATTTGATCCTTTCTTTAAAATAAATCTGCATAGCTGCCTGTGTTTCTCGCTTTATTCCAACTAGTGTCGCTGTGTGTGTTTTTGTGGTCCTCCAGGGTATGATCGTTAGTCTCTTCCCCATCGATGCCATTGGACAGATGGTTAGCCTCCTCCACATGTCTCTGCTCTACTCCCTGTACTGCTTTGAGTATCGCTGGTTCAACCATGGTGAGTCCTCTGTCAGCTTCT